TATTTACACGCTAAACATTAAAATCAAACAAGATTTATTTGCAAATAAATGTCTATTCATTATCTTGAAATACTGTGTAAACTCAGTTCTCATTAAACACCTTGCTAAGCTGACTTTGAAAAAGCATCATGCTACTAACCATCATGCACGGATGAAGAGCTAAAATGGAAATCAAAAACTTTTAGTCTAATTTTTAGCTCCCCCGTTGTGTTTTTAATATGACAGTAGAATAAATTTTGGCTAAATATATACAGTGTCAATGTCTCCAATCTGATTCACTTTAACAATTCATACGCCTTTGAAGAAAATGTGCAATTTGACATGCAAAAATATAAGCATAATGTAGATTTTCCTAGCAATTTTCTAAAAAAGAAATCTTTTCTTTCTGTCTCTATCACTTGCTTTTATAATACCCCCAGGGGTATGGGCAACAGCATCTTCTCCCCTTCTTAGTTTTCAGGAAGACATGCTGACATGAAAAAAGAATAAACGATAGGAACAAGGCCACATGGCTAATTAGCAGCAGACCTGGAACAACAGACCTCCAACTAACAGAAGAGAAAGAAAATTCAGCTAGAGAGATGTACTGTGTCTTTGACGCAGGATATGTACATATAATGACCCCACAACAAGACAATGAGAAATTACAACTACCACTCTGCTTTGGTTTCATAGCCCTAAAACCAACTGCAAAATAAAATACCTACCAACTGTACTCCGAGGTAAAAAATAGGGGGTGCTACCCCAACATGTACCTAGATAAGATTTCACGTGGCACAGACATATGTTCCCATGAGTTTTACAACTCCTAAAAATCTGAGCCCAATGTGAGTCTACAGCCTTAAGAAAGTACTAAAACCAAGCACGACCGACCATTAAAAAACTGCAATGTCACAGACAGAAAGCAGAAGGAACAAAATCATGAATCAGTCTGACTTCTCAGGATAAAAGCATCAAATGGCCTTAATTAAGCCATTATGAAATTAAATGGGAATATTTCTCAACAGCTAAAACTTTTTCACCCCTGAATTTTAGGAAATTATTTTATTTACGGAATCCCCAACTTTGAAAACCACCCACATGTTAATAAAAATCGATGAGATTTTTAGCACAAAATACTTCAGTTTAAATTAGGATAAAGTATTTTGGTTTAGTTATCAAAGCCAAAAGTCAGTTTTAGCATCTTATCTAACAACTGCCACAGAAATACGCACTCCGATGGCTGGAGGTACAGAGTAGAGGACTGCAAGGAGCCGTGGGCAAACCGACATCCCTGGGCACAAGAGCTCACATAGTTCTGTTGAGATGGAAGACTTATGGTCAGGAAAATAAATTCATTTCTTTCTTCCTAAGTTTCCTCTTCTCTCTTATATGAATTTTAAATTTAATATTTAGAAGAATAGCAAATGAACAGCATGGTTTCGTTAGAAATTACATGAGCCTTTTTCAATGAGGTGCCAGATGCTTTCTGAAAGCAACTTTCAAGTGTTTGCAACATTATTTGCATAGCTCACATACAGCAGAATTTGGAAATGTTCATTAATAAAATAATAATTTCAGGTTTAATTTTTTGATATTCCCAATTTTTTATTATAAAAAATTAATGCTTTCTGCACTGCCGTGTTTGCAAAGTAGAAAAGTGCTATATTTTTATGCACCATTAAAACTTGATGCACATTTGTCAAGTGAGATTTCACAGCACCGTTGTGTGTTTTTTTTAGATTGACCTGTTGTTAACATTTTACATCATTTCTTTTTTTTTTTTTTTTTTTTTTTAGACAGGGGCTGTCTGTCACCCAGGCTGGAGTGCAATGATGTGATTGTGGCTCACTGCAGCCTTGACCTCCCAAGCTCAAGTGATCATCCCACCTCAGCCTCCCAAGTAACTGGGGCCAGCTGGGACCACAGGAGTGCACCACCACACCTGGCTATTTTTTTATATTTTTTGTACAGACAGGGTCTTCGTATGTTGCCCAGGCTGGACCACGGCATTTTTAATTTTACAGTTTGTCTTAATTGTTCTATAAATAGATTCACTCCACCCAGGGTCCATTTAAGTCCTAGGCTCACTATGCTTCCCTTGAGTATCCTTTGGACACTATTCCAGTGAAAGCCAGCAAACTGCATCAGGCACATCAGCAATGACTTTTACTATAACTGCTCTTTGAAAAGATGTTCAGAAGCAAGTACCAGGAGGGAGGCACGGTCATATCCAACCCCTGACTTCTAGAGTACTGGAAAAAGAAACTCTGAGCAGTCTATCTCAGGAAAAGAATATCCAATCAAAGCACCAAGTTTCACCAATGGCAGCATTTCTTTTTGTTTTGTTTTGTTTTGTTTTGCTTGTTTTTTTGATACAGAGTCTCACTCTTTCCCCCAGACTGGAGTGCAGTGGTGCACTCTCGGCTCACTGCAACCTCCGCCTACCAGGTTCAAGTGATTCTCCTGCCTTAGCCTCCCAAGTAGCTGGGACTACAGGCGTCCGCCACCATGCCCGGCTAATTTTTTATTTTTAACAGAGATGGGGTTTCCCCATGTTGGCCAGGCTGGTCTCAAACTCCTGACCTCAACTGATCTGCCTGCCTCAGCCTCCCAAAGTGCTGGGATTACAGGCATGAGTCACCGCGCCCAGCCCAGTGGCAGCATTTCTAAAGACCCTTCTTCACCTTAGAATCTAGCAGCCCCAAGACTTTGTCATATTAACTTTAACAAGACTCAGTTCATTAACAGAAAAATAATATATTGCACAAAAACATACTAAGGAAGCTCAACCTTCAAAACACCAACAAGAAAGTTGAATACAAATCAGAAATATTTACACAAATGTATACTGTACATTAAAGGTTATTCTAGCTTATTTTTCTCAAGGTTTAAAGATTATTATCTATAACCAAAGAAAAGCACTCTTGGCTGGAAATCTGGAGACAGGGTTAGAGTTCCAGCTTCTGGCATCAATGCCCTCTGTTTCTTGGGTTAGTAGCTTCGTTTCTCTTAACCTCAAGTCCTAATCTCTAAAATGATCAGGGTCGACTCCATAACTGTTAAACTTGTAGCTTCCTGATTTGCCATCTATAGTCCTTCTGGTATTTGTTTTATAAGTTATCCATAAGCGTACCTTTGCTGAATAAGACACTAAAAAAAGTTCTTTTCTTTGTCTAGGTTTTGTACTGTATTCCTAATCCTTGTTATTATTTTGTCCACAAATACAACTATGGCTCACAGTCACCAAGGCAATGATAATTACTACAATAGCTAACACATAAGTGCTTATAATGCGCCAGGTACCGTGCTAAGCACTTTACATATATTAATCTCTTCTTTCTCACCACAACCCTATGAGGTAGAAATCATGCTTATTCCCATTTGTAGAACTAAGGAGATTGGGGCACAGAGAGATTATGTAACTTTCCCAAGGTCATAAGGTTTACAAGTGGAAGGGCCAGAATTCAAACCCCAAGTATTCTGTCCATGGAACCCCCTCTGCTTAACTACTACATCACACACACACCTGGAGAGTCTACGGAGGGTAAAGAGCAGCAGGGTCCACCTGCAAAATGTTGCTGGGGGCCCAGAAACTGAACTTGTATCATGAATGATCTCAAAAACAGTGGTAGCTCATGATTCACAAATCCAGCAGAAGCACTTGGCACTAACATGGTTTTCCTTCCACACTTTAGTTGCATAAGAAAGTAACACTGATGGAAAAGGGACTGAATTAAATCTACCTCCCTTCTTTCACTCATTAGGGGGAATGCACAAGTAACAGGAACTGTGGAAGCACTGGTGATTTCCATGTCCCAGTGTTTAGCAGGCAGCACTCCGTTACAACACAGCTCAAAGTCACTGGCCAGGGACACTGCAGGTTAAGTCATCTGCCTCAAAGCTTAACAGCTGAAAACCATAGCCAGATAGGAGTGGAAACACCAGTTCCACAGCCTGAAATGTGGGGCGGGGGGATCTAAGTGCTCAAATTAGGTAACAAAAAATTTCCTGTGCATCAAAATATACTGCTGCGTGCAATTAAACTGCACACTGCTATTTCCAATTAGAACAGAGAGAAAACAAGGAAGTCCTATTTAACCATTTAGCACACTGTTTTCATATATATATATATATGTATCATATACATAAAATATATAAACATATTTATATATTTCCCTCATTCATAAACATAAATATATACATATGTGTGTGTGTGTATGTGGGGGTGTGTGTGTGTGTGTATATATATATATATATTTTTTTTTTTCCCCATCCAACTCGAATCTCAAGAACTCTTCACTTGGCTAAATTCCAAGAGAGGCTCAGCATTTCAGTGGGCCAAGGCCTGGGAAAGGGAGATAGCAGGTCTGAGTTCTAGAACCCAGGAAGCCCTCAGAGACGTCCAAGGGTCACAGCGCTGCGGATGCCCCTAGGGCTGCCCAGGCTGGTGGGGCGAGTCCTCGTTCGGCAAGGCCAAAAGGAAACTGCTCCAGCGAAGAGGGGACAGTGAGCTCCTCCCGCAGGACAACGCCACACTTCGGCTCACCACATCGCTTGAATTTCAGGTCCAAGGCCACGGACTTTTATCGACTGCTCTTTCAAACCCGGCACTGAGAGACCAGGGCCTGAGAACGGTAGCGAGAAACGGTGGAAAAGGGGGGTGTTTTGTTTTACCTTCCAGGGAAAACAAGCACACATTTTAATCAAAACAACCCAGGGAAAAGCCAGCGAAGACCTCTTCGCCGGGCCCGTCTCCGGGCTTCTGAATCACTTCCTCCTTTCTGATGTGTCTCTGAGCTCGAGATTACGAAGTTGCTGAGAAAGTCTTGCCTCTCAGGGCAGCTTCCTGCGAGCGGGCGAGCAAGAGAGCCGAGCGCACGGCACTGTCCGCGGGCGCCGACCCTGCCCGGCCGGGCCACCGCACGCGGCGGCGGGAGGACCTGGAGGCGGAGGAGGGACAGGGACGGGTTCCCAGGACCCGGAGCGCGAGCGCTGCCCAGCCCGCGTCTCCCGCTTACCCCAAGGTGCTGATGAAGCCGTTGACCGAGCCCTCCGCGTACAGGGACACGATGTCCCCTATGTAGAGGAAGCTGGACATTTTATCAGTCATGCTGCTTCATGTTCCACAGTGGACGTCCCTCTTCTTCCCTGCGCCCTCGCCGCTCTCTCTCCAGGGAGCCGCCGAGGCACGAGCGGATCGGAGCACGGGACGGCAGCGGCCAAGAGTCGCGGCGGAGGGCACAGCCCGAGCCACCAAGCGTCGCGGCTCAGCCGTGCGTGCGCGCCGGGGAAGCCAGGCAGGGGCCAAGCCGCAGCTGCGGACACCCCGCGAAGAGCGCAGCCCCGGCGCCCAGAGAAGCCGCAGCCGCCGCCGCCTCCCCGGCAGGTTTCCTGTTCCTTTCTGAAGTTTTCTCTCCAACACCTTTGCTCCTCCTCCTCCTTCCCTCTCCGCTCCCTACTCCGTGCCCACTCCCCGCTCTGCGACTCGCCGGGGCAGTCACAGCCGCCGGGCGGGAGCTGGAAGTGGCAGAGCCCCCTCGGTCCCCTCAGGGGAATTTTTGGACCAGGTGCGGGTGCCCATTGGGCGAGGGGGAGGAGAGGAGCCCGGGAGAGGTGGGGGGGCGGCCAATCAGGGAGCGGCGGCCGGGGGCGGAGCTGGGCCGGGGCGGGGCGACCCTCGGGAGGCCGGGCCACCCGGGAAACCGCTGCCGCCGCACCGGGCTGCTCGGGGACGCGACGCTGGGCGGCGCTGTAGGGGTGACGGGGTACCCGGACCGGGGAGCGGGCGCGTGCGGCCGCCCTGGAGAGGCCGGACCTGGGGCGCGACAGCCGCTGTCTGGGAAAGCGAAGGAGCTTGATGGGGGCAGGGAGGGTGAGAGTTGGCGGCCCGGCGAGCGCACTGTAGGACCCCGGCACGGTGGAGAGAGAGCCCTGGAGCCGCTGGAGACGAAAAGGTGGAGCCCGAGCCGGGTGGGTAATTTGTTGGCCAAGGAAGAGGTAGGCGTTGAAGTAAAGGAAAAAAAATACAAATAAAAAAAAATGCATGATAAAGAAAGTAGAAGAGAGGAAGAAAGAGAGTGAGGGAAGGAGGATGATCTCGATTTAGTTATGTAGTTTGGGTGGTCTTTTCAAACTCTTCTTTTCTCAAGTATGCGGCGTTAATGAAACTCGACCCGTCCGCTGATGTCCAGGTGGACGCGAACCTCCAGGGAGGTAAACGTCACTTGGCCGAGTCAGTTTTTGTAGCCAACCTTCGGCAGCGAAGGCTCAGTGGAACTGAGCTTTAAGCCTCCGAGGCCGCGCCTCCTGCGCTTCCTTAACTCCAAGCCGAGGTTAACCTTCCACCCCCATCAGCCGTAGGTCTCCTGCTCAAGACAGCCCTAGCTTGTTTACGTTTAAAGCTGCTGACTCTTAAAGCTCCAGCCGTTATAAACAAAACGCAGCTAGACACTTTTCCACGCCTTCTCTGTTGCTTCTGTAGCCCTCTTCTTAGAACATGATTTTAAAAACCTTTTGTCCTTCCCTTCTAGAAGACATGTTGGAGGCAAACTGTGTGGCGGTTTTGATACCGGCCACCTAATTTAAAAGTGCTACATAAGTAATCCCCACAGAGCGAAGTTTGCAGAAAGGCAGAGGAACAGGGGGTGTGCAGAAGCATGTTGTGTCAAATTGTGCAACTGACCAAAATGTAACTTACAGTCAGATGTCTTGCATGTCTTAGAGTTCAAAGATGGTTTACATTGAGACTTATAATCACATAATAGAAAATGAAAGAATTAGCCCAGAATTCAAAAGGCCAAGCGGGGTGGCTCACGCCTGTAATCCCAGCACTTTGAGAGACTGAGGCAGGAGGATCACTTGGGGTTAGGAGTTCAAGACCAGCTTGGCCAACATGGCGAAACCCCGTCTCTACTAAAAATACAAAAATTAGCCGGACATGTTGGCACAGGCCTATAATCCCAGCTACTCCAGAGGCTGAGGCAGGAGAATTGCTCGAAGCCAGGAGGCAGAGGTTGCTGTGAGCAGAGATGCACCACTGCACTCCAACCTGGATGACAGAGCAATACTGCGTCTCAAAGAAACAAAAGTTTGTGTTTAAAAAGCCTGCTAGTTAGAAGAGAATAGACACTGAATCCAGGAAACACCAGTGTAAAGCCTGTGTGTGTTGAGATAAACTAGACCCAGTCATTGTAATAGCATGCAGCTGACAGATCTCCTTTTTTGTGTCCTCTTTTGTAAAAAGTTACTTGACAACTTAGAAATGCCTGTTACATGATCCAGCCCTGCTCTGTCTACACACATATCACTGTTGGGGGCCACCAAGACATTGGGCACAGGAGTTATTAAAAAGCTTGAGACGGAACAACATAATGTGGAAATGGAAGTTTCTGTTTATCCAGGAGAGCTATGCATTACATTCTATTGTTCCCCATATTGACAGCACTACTGTGCTATACATCCAGTGGATGCTCAATTATTGATCAACATCATGAATGATCTTTGTTTTAAGTCACAAACTATCTGTGGCCAACACATACAAAATGAGTAGTGGTTGGCCAGCCGCGGTGGCTCACGCCTGTAATTCCAACACTTTGGGAGGCGGAGGTGGGTGGATCACCTGAGGAGTAGTTTGAGACCAGCCTGGCCAACATGGTGAAACCCTGTCTCTACTAAAAATACAAAAACATTAGCCAGGCGTGGTGGTGGGTGCCTGTAATCCCAGCTACTTGGGAGGCCGAGGCAAGAGAATTGCTTGATTCTGGGAGGTGGAAGTTGCAGTGAACCGAGATTGCTCCATTGCATTCCAGCCTGGGCAACGAGCGAAACTTCATCTCAAAAAACAAAACAAAATGAGTAGTGGTTGTTTATGCTAATGAACAGGTGCAAACTTCAAACCATGTACCCAAATTATTGATCAAAATCGTGAATGATCTTTGTTTCAAGTCACAAACTATCTGCAGACGACACATACAAAATGAGTAGTGGTTATTTATGCTACTGAACAGGTGCAAACTTCAAACCATGTACCCAAATCCAATGTCTTCCTTCCTCTTCACCCTGTCCCCACCCCCCACCACTCAACACCCACAGAGGTATCCAACATAGTCTGGGGACTGGAGCTGGTCACTCTTCTGTGTCGGCATGGCAAAGATGATTAGCCGGCCACACGGGTGGCCTAAGGGATGGCCAAGGGATACATATAAAGTCTTGGGATCACTTTTTATGTCTTTTTCTACCTAGTTCTTCTTTTCTATTATCTCAAATATGTCTCTTTTTCACCTTCCCCTGTATCATTACTCTCTTCTACACAGTTGCCTGTTTCTACCCTTCCAGTCTCTCCCATGTGCTATTCCATAGCAAGCCAGAGCTTTATACTTATAAAGTTGATCTCTTCAAAACTGCTCAAGCCTCCAATGACAGCTTATTGTCTACAGTAAGGCCTACCTGCTGATGTGAGTGTTAGATATGAACATCAGTCACTCTAAATAGATTCTCCTGTGCTGAGAATATGAGACAGTTTGCCAAACCCTCTCTCACCATGTCCTATATTCCACACCATCCATGATCTGGTCTCCTTCTCCTTTTACAACCTGAGTTTCTGCCCTTCCATTCCTGGTATCCAGGAAAGCCAGACTTCCCACATGTAACCTGGCACTTTTAGTCTCCATGTCTTTGAGTGTGATGTTCCCTCTGCCAGAGGTCCCTCTTCTCCCTTCTCCCACCTCTGCATGCCCAAGCTCTACTTCCCCAGTGGAACGTCCCATATACTGCCAAGGCACAGTTCTACGTCCTCCTGAATTCCCATAGCCAGGCCAACTTGAATTCCCATAGCCAGGCCAACTTGCCGCCTAACATTCGTGGGTTTCCATGCCAAGAGTATCAGAGGCCCTTATTACATAATCTAAATATTAAAGGTTGCTAACTGGCTAATAAACTGTAAAAGGTGGTGTAGTGTAGAGAGAGTTGGCCCACGTTTCCAGGTTCTGTCTCTACACTTGAGAAAATGAATTTATGCATGAGATTCTGGGATCTTGGACACTCAGAACACAGTTTAGAAGGAGGAGGAAGTTCAGGCTCCTAGTGAGCATGTCCCCTTAATCCAGAAGAAAATCCTGTAAAACTCAGAGCCCAGGTCAGGAACTCAGTTGCCTGGTCTAAGGGCACATCCCTTTAAAGTTACCTCTCAACACTTTCCACCTTGCCTTCTTGTTATATCTGTACATCTTGAGTCTTACCAAACTAGAAACATCCTGAAAATGAGAACAGTGTCTAATTCATGTTTTATCCCTCATGGGGCCTAGCAGTACCCATTTATGACTTCAATAAATATTTAATAGATAAATGAAATAACTAATGTAGAATTTTTGAATGCTTAAATATTTTTATTACTTTAGATGATGAGAATAGTCCACCAAATCATATTCAAAAAGTCTTCTGTGCTGAGACTATGAGTCACTTCAGCAAAAGCCCAAGTTATCATGCCCTAAAAAACCCATAGGGAGAGATAATAAATAGAGCACAGTGTAATATTTGAAATGTTTACTCCCAAAGGATTGCCTATATTAAAAATAAGGTTTCAGTAACCAGTTCTTCTAGCGGAGATGTTATTTACATTCAGTGTTCATTTGGATATCCTCAGATCAATACTAGAAGTGAAAGGGTTTGCAATCTATTATCTGTCAACTGAGTGTTTTGTGAATTCCTTTTCTTACTCCCTGCATTGTAATAAATTTTTTTTTTTTTTTTTTTGAGAAAGAGTTTCACTGTTTGTTGCCGAGGCTGGAGTGCAGTGGCACAATCTTGGCTCACTTCTACCTCCGCCTCCTGGGTTCAAGCAATTCTCCTGCCTCAGGCTCCCAAGTAGCTGGGATTACAGGCGCCCGCCACCATGCCTGGCTAATTTTTGTATTTTTAGTAGAGATGGGGTTTCACCATGTTGGCCAGGCTGGTCTTGAACTCCCTACCTCAGGTGATCTGCCCACCTCGGCCTCCCAAAGTGCTGGGATTACAGACGTGAGCCACCGTGCCTGGCCTAAATATAATTTTTAATAGTAACTGGTTTATTGAGCAGTCTGCTTCATGAGGTGCAAATAAAATATGGGGTTTTAAATCATTCCCTTTCAACAAAGGGAAATGTTCTATCAAATCTATATGTTCTGTCTTTTAATAGTATTTCAAGGAGAGCCCTTAGATTTAGAGTCATTGTTATTTTCAGTTATTAAAAATACGCACACATGGCCGGGTGCGATGGGTCACATCTGTAATCCCAGCACTTTGGGAGGCCGAGGTGGGCAGATCACCTGAGGTAGGGAGTTCAAGACCAGCCTGGCCAACATGGTGAAACCCCATCTCTACTAAAAATACAAAAATTAGCAGGGCGTAGTGGTACATGCCTGTAATCCCAGCTACTCTGGAGGCTGAGGCATGAGAATCGCTTTAACCCAAGAGGTGGAGGTCGCAGTGAGCTGAGATCACGCCACTGCACTCTAGCCTGAGTGACAGAGCGAGACCGTCTCAAAACAT